AAGATGGCTGCCTGTCGGCCATGTTGTTTATCCGATCAGTCTCAAAAGTTGCCCTGCACAGCTAAGGACCAAGGGGAACCTACATATAAAATTTGAGAAAGATCCCTCTGATACTTCCCGGGAAATAGCAAAAACAAATTTTCAATATCAAAATCCAAGATGGCTGCCTGTTAGCCATGTTGTTTATCCGATCAGTCTAAAAAGTTGCCCTGCACAGCTAAGGACCAAGGGGAACCTACATTTAAAATTTGAGAAAGATCCCTCCCGGACTTCCCAGGAAATAGCAAAACAAACTTTCACTATCAAAATCCAAGATGGCTGCTTGTCGGCCATGTTGTTTATCCGATCAGTCTCTAAAATTGCCCTGCACAGCTAGGACCAAGGGGAACCTACATATAAAATTTGAGAAAGATCCCTCGGGTTCTTCTTGAGAAATACCGATAACAAGAATTGTTTACGGACGGACGACGGACGCAGGGTGATTTGAATAGCCCACCATTAGATGATGGTGGGCTAAAAATATTGATTGCGCACCACGGCATAAGCTCACTTAAAGGGCCAGGTGAGCTATAAATGAGCAGGGGCCCACAGATATAATTCAATCCTCTCCATGTGGTCAAGTGTGACCTTGCCCTTACCGGTATATACCTTGTTGGATGACAACAAAACTCAAACAAGAGGCCCAAGAGGGCCTGTATCGCTCACCTGAATATTTAAGCAGTCATAGCAAAATACTCTCATTAAATATTATATTGCACTAAAAATATTTCCCTCGCAAACTTTGATGACTCCATCTGTTGAAACTACCAGCAAAATATTATTAAAAAATTCTATGCTTTTTGATTCTTCTTCAGAAGTTGATTGACATATTTTTCCCTGTGATCTTGTAAGTAGGTCAATGTCATTTTCCTTCTCAAATTGGTTAGCTCTATTCCAAAAAGCTACCAGTCAAATCTTATGAATCCATTCCTTTTAGTTCTCAAGAACAAATCCATTAAAATGTTGTTGACCTCTGTGACCTCTAAAGTAGGTTGAGGTCATTTTCATTTGCAAACTTTGGTGAGCTCTATCCCGGGAAGTCACCAGCCAAATATTAAAATTTTATGCCTTTTAATTCTTCAGAAGAAGCTGTTTGAATTGTTTGACAAATTTGAACGCTGTGACCTTGAAAGTAGGTCAAACTAATTTTCATTCTCAAACTTTGTTGGTCTCTATCCCAGGAAGCCACCAGCCAAATATGAAGATTCTATACCTTTTAGTTCTTTAGAAGAAGTCGTTTGAAGTTTTTGACATGTTTGACCCCTGTGACCTTGAAAGTAGGTCAAACTAATTTTCATTCTCAAACTTTGTTGGTCTCTATCCCAGGAAGCCACCAGCCAAATATGAAGATTCTATACCTTTTAGTTCTTTAGAAGAAGTCGTTTGAAGTTTTTGACATATTTGACCCCTGTGACCTTGAAAATCGGTGAAGGTCATTTATTTGAACAAACTTTGTAGCCCTTCATCCAAGTTTGCTTCTGGCCAAATATTGACACCCTAGGCCTTTCGGTTATTTAGAAGAAGTCGTTTAAAGTAAAATATTGACGCCGGACGCCGGACGGACGGACGCCGGACGGACGGACGCCGGACGGACGGACGGACGCCGGACGGACGGACGACGGACGCCGCGCCACGGCATAAGCTCACTTGGCACTTCGTGCCAGGTGAGNATGACGGACGAGGACGGACGGACGGATGGACGACGGATGCCGCGCCACGGCATAAGCTCACTTGGCACTTCGTGCCAGGTGAGCTAATAATGTAGAATTTCATTTTACTATAAATCAATGTGTAAATATGCAGTATCTTTGACACAAGCCTTTTACTTCACCAGAAGTGTTGGGTTTATATAAGAAACACAGAAACAGATATCATTCAGTTCCTTTATTACAATTAAAGTTAATGTTGAATGTTCAATATCATCAAAGTAAAATGATTATATACAATGTATGACGCTGGGGATTTGCTGATATTCGGGTTCATGACTGTTTTTAGGTACATTGTACAGTCCTGAATGATCCTGCGAAGCTTCTATACTAACTTCTTATTACTAATGTGATGAATTTTAACATATTGATCGTAATATGTAAGAATGTTTCTACAGAGATAATGGCGTTATAATGGCACAAGTGTTGCGGGAGTTTCAAATATATATCAACATTAATCTTAAACAAAGATTACACTAGACTTCATGCATAAGAAGTAGTCTATCAAATTTTTGAGATTAAGATTTGCCAATATTGACAGAAAATTCGGCGAAAAAGATTTCACCTTCATATTTTTCCAAACCAAAAGAACAAATCAATCAATCAATCTGTCTTGACCATCAGGTATATGCCAAAGTCCTGTGGTTGTTCTCTGTGTACTCAGGTTTTCCTCCACTGCCAAAACCTGGCTGGCTCCTTCTTAAACGACCAAAGTTGTTAAAAGGATGTAATAAATCAAATTAAATTCACAAGAACATGTATGCATTTAGATTAAAAAATATGTTTCTGCTATGGCAATTATCTGTTCTATCAGTCATTTGAGTGTCGAAAGCCACTGAACATCATATAATGAACATCAGAAATGTGTGTATTTTCTGGAATTGCAGATTGCTGTCGTAAGTTATTTGATATGTATTTCACACACATCCCAGTTCAATGAAAGAAATATAGAAAATAACCTGTCAGTAGCCAAGATATATTCAATTTTCATAAATTATGCAAATCTAGAATTTCACATTTTGAGTGCAACACCACCCAATTCCATACATATAACATCTTGAATGTATTGGAGTTATAATTTGAGACACCTTGTAACTGAGGATGCAATTTGAGACATCTCATGACTTAAGATGATTTTCATAATGACATTTAATTATCCGAGAAAATAGAAGCACTAAAACATGCAACAATTAAATTATTTTAACTAACAAAACATCAATACTGTTTTGATGGGCGAGTGTTAGGTATTCAGGCCATCACACTGCAAACAGATCAGTGTCATAAACAGAGGGTCACATAAATATATTTGGTATTATTTGTACATATATGTATATAGATCAGATCTTGGAATAACACTATATATGTAACCCCTCCAACACCATTCCCCCTGGTGGAAATATCCAGTATTTGGAGATATTTGACAAGCTATTGTTTAAAACTGATATGGATTGACCACAAAGCTTAGCTGGTGGAAACATCCAGTATTTGTATATCTTAAACAAGCAATTGTTTGAGACTGATATGGATTGACCACAAAGCTTAGCTGGTGGAAACATCAAGTATTTGGATATCTTAAACAAGCAATTTTTTGAGACTGATATGGATTGACCACAAAGCTTAGCTGGTGAAAGTATCCAGTATTTGGATATCTTAAACAAGCTATTGTTTGAAACTCTTTAACCTTTTCACCACTATAGACCATAATGAACTCATCAAAATAAATCTGTGGTAAAGTCTACTTAAGTTACATAGGGGTGAAAGGGTTAACATTCATAAGCTGAAGGTTCTGATTGTTTCCCTTCCTCCAATTATCCTGACATTGTGTTCAGTATAAGGTAGAATCATTACACAGTACAAATCACTACATTTCCCTCACAATAGGTGTCACATACTGTACTGTCTATTAACTTATGGAGGAAAAACATATGAAGTAAATGGAATATAAATACAGCATTGTTTAATAGTTAACCCTTTCACCATTGTAAACCACAATGGACTCATCCATATCAATGCATGGTAGAGTCTACTGAAATTACTTAGGGGTGAACGGGTTAACTACAATATAACATAGTCTGATCAACTGGGAACTTTGTGTGCAAAACATACATAATTCGCTACTCCCTCTTTGGTGGAATTAAATGCAAAGCCCAAACAATATATTTGAGCTAGACACAAATTCAAACAAGTCAGTGAAGCAAAAAATATTGGTCATAGTGACGATCATGTCCCGTTTAGTCGATATGCTGGTGTAGTACACCACTTGAGTCGTACTGACATGAAGTTATATATAAGACAACTAGAGCTTAATGTCAAATCTAACCAAGATGTACGGACTAACTGACGTAGAAACGAACTTACAGAAACTTAACACTTTATTCTCCTTCAAGCAGTATTTCATTCTAAAAGGCACACACTTCACAATCTGCTATTATACTGAAACCTGACTCCACTGAATCCTGATTTTGACACCATCCTATAACCATTATCGTTCTCTGGTCCAAAAACATGAGTTTCTCTATATTTCGGTAACCCTGTCTTTACTGACACACTGTCCTATCAAACAAACCTACCCCAATCCTTCCTGATTTTGGCTGTGACACAATTATCTAATAATACTTTAATGGGCCCAAGTGTAGGTGTTACATGGTCTAGGTGTGTTTACTTGATCCAGGTATAATTGTTTACAAGGTCATGTTTACTGGGTCCAGGTTTAACTGTTTACTGGCCCAGTCCATGTGGAAGTGTGTACTGAGCCCAGGGTAAGTATTAACTGGGTCCATGTGTAAGTGTTTGCGGAGCCCAGGTGTAAGTATTTACTGGGTCCAGGTGTGCTCACTGAGCCCAGGTGTAAGTGTTTATTGAGCACAGGTGTAAGTATTTACTGGGTCCATGTGTAAGTGTTTATGGAGTCCAGGTGTAAGTGTTTATTGAGCCCAGGTGTAAGTGTGTACTGGGTCCATGTGTTGTAAGTATTAACTGGGTCCATGTGTAAGTGTTTCCGGAGCCCAGGTGTAAGTATTTACTGGGGCCATGTGTAAGTGTTTACGGAGCCCAGGTGTAAGTGTTTATTAAGCCCAGGTGTAAGTGTTTCCTGGGTCCATATGTACGTGTTTACTGAGCCTAGGTGTAAGTGTTAATGAGCATAGGTGTAAGTATTTACTGGGTCCATGTGTAAGTGTTTATGGAGTCCAGGGGTAAGTGTTTATTGAGCCCAGGTATGAGTGTGTACGTGGTCGGTCTGTTGTAAGTATTAACTGGGTCCATGTGTAAGGGTTTGCGGAGCCCAGGTGTAAGTATTTGCTGGGTCCAGGTGTGCTCACTGAGCCCAGGTGTAAGTGTTTATTAAGCCCAGGTGTAAGTGTTTCCTGGGTCCATATGTACGTGTTTACTGAGCCTAGGTGTAAGTGTTAATGAGCATAGGTGTAAGTATTTACTGGGTCCATGTGTAAGTGTTTACTGAGCCCAGGTGTAAGTGTTAATGAGCATAGGTGTAAGTATTTACTGGGTCCATGTGTAAGTGTTTACTGAGCCCAGGTGTAAGTGTTTATTAAGCCCAGGTGTAAGTGTTTCCTGGGTCCATATGTAAGTGTTTACTGAGCCTAGGTGTAAGTGTTAATGAGCATAGGTGTAAGTATTTACTGGGTCCATGTGTGCTTAATGAGTCCAGGTGTAAGTGTTTATTGAGCACAGGGGTAAGTATTTACTGGGTCCATGTGTGCTTAATGAGTCCAGGTGTAAGTGTTTATTGAGCACACGTGTAAGTATTTACTGGGTCCATGTGTGCTTAATGAGTCCAGGTGTAAGTGTTTATTGAGCACACGTGTAAGTATTTACTGGGTCCATGTGTGCTTAATGAGTCCAGGTGTAAGTGTTTATTGAGCACAGGGGTAAGTATTTACTGGGTCCATGTGTAAGTGTTTACGGAGTCCAGGCGTAAGTGTTTATTGAGCCCAGGTGTAAGAGTGTACTGGGTCCATGTATTGGAAGTATTAACTGGGTCCATGTGTAAGTGTTTCCGGAGCCCAGGTGTAAGTATTTACTGGGGCCATGTGTAAGTGTTTACGGAGCCCAGGTGTAAGTATTTTCTGGGTCCATGTGTAAGTGTTTATGGAGTCCAGGTGTAAGTGTTTATTGAGCACAGGTGTAAGTATTTACTGGGTCCATGTGTAAGTGTTTACGGAGTCCAGGTGTAAGTGTTTATTGAGCCCAGGTGTAAGTGTGTACTGGGTCCATGTGTTGTAAGTATTAACTGGTTCCATGTGTAAGTGTTTATGGAGCCCAGGTGTAAGTATTTACTGGGTCCAGGTATGCTCACTGAGCTCAGGTGTAATTGTTTATTAAGCACAGGTGTAAGTATTCACTGTGTCCATGTGTAAGTGTTTACGGAGACCAGGTGTAAGTGTTTATTAAGCCCAGGAGTAAGTGTTTCCTGGGTCCATATGTAAGTGTTTACTGAGCCCAGGTGTAAGTGTTTATTGAGCACAGGTGTAAGTATTTACTGGGTCCATGTGTAAGTGTTTACGGAGCCCAGGTGTAAGTGTTTATTAAGCCCAGGTGTAAGTGTGTACTGGGTCCATGTGTTGTAAGTGTTTACTGGGTCCATGTGTAAGTGTTTGCGGAGCCCAGGTGTAAGTATTTACTGCGTCCAGGTATGCTCACTGAGCCCAGGGTAAGTATTAACTGGGTCCATGTGTAAGTGTTTACTGAGCCCAGGTGTAAGTGTTAATGAGCATAGGTGTAAGTATTTACTGGGTCCATGTGTGCTTGATGAGTCCAGGTGTAAGTGTTTATTGAGCATAGGTGTAGGTATTTACTGGGTCCATGTGTTGTAAGTGTTTACTGGGTCCATGTGTAAGTGTTTACGGAGCCCAGGTGTAAGTATTTACTGGGTCCATGTGTGCTTAATGAGTCCAGGTGTAAGTGTTTATTGAGCATAGGTGTAAGTATTTACTGGGTCCATGTGTGCTTAATGAGTCCAGGTGTAAGTGTTTATTGAGCATAGGTGTAAGTATTTACTGGGTCCATGTGTTGTAAGTGTTTACTGGGTCCATGTGTGCTTAATGAGTCCAGGTATAAGTGAGTTTATTAAGCCAATGGGCAAGTGTTTACTGAGGCTAGGAGTGTTTACAATGTCAAAGTGTAAATGTTTACGAATTCATGTTTGAGATGGTTATGGGGTGAGGTTTAAGTGTTTACTGGTTCCATGTGTTGATTGAGTCCAGGTTTAAAAGTTTATTAAGCCAAGGTGTAAGTATTTTCTCGGCTCAAGTGTAAGTGTTTAGATTGACCCAGGTGTAACAGGTTTAGGTGTGAGTGTTTATTAAGCCCAGATGTGAGTGTGCCAATGTCAAAGTGTAAATGTTTACGAAGTCTATTTGTAAGTACCTATTGGGCCCTGGTGTGTTTAGTTTGTTTGCTATCAATTCTGATAGTGGTAGAATTTAGTCAAGTGGCATAGTGGTTTGTTATCAGTTGTATTGTTAATTAAAATTCATCGTCAAAAGTAATGCATAGATCATGGAAACTACTTAACAAAGGAAAATCCTTCAAAACATCCACATTTAATGAGCCATAAATGCAAATCAGCTTCCTCTTTATTACAAGGTTTGATAACTGAAACATCCATACACGTTATTGTACACAAATCATTATCACAAAAATAATTATCTTATTTACATTTACTATAGGCACCAAGGTCATTTAAGTTTAAGAGTCCTTAAATACTCTGTTTTTTCTTTAACAAAGAAGAGTTCTAATTAGTTTGTTTGGCATTTTCTGACTTGGAGTTGTTTGCTAATTTACTTATCAAATTAGCACAAATGTCATGTACGAAAGAAATATATATAACTTCCTTTTTCACAAAAAAACTCTCCACAGAGATTGAATACCTGGACCATTTGATTATATAGCTGGCTGCTTATCCACTTTACTACCACTATTACATGGAATAATATCAACCTACGGTATTCTTCAATTCTCCCTCAAAAGGCCAGCAACCTATAATTATGTTTGCATGAATATAGAGGAAATAACATAATATCAACAGGAAAATAACTCTTCAATACCTTAATACAGTAGAAAATAATAATAATAATAATTTGAGGTTCTTAAATACCTCTTTATCCCAACCTAGTTCGTAGGTCGTCTCAAAGCGGTTCATAAATTATTATCCAATTATAATGCATACAATATACAATTTTCTACTATTCAGTACTTGGAATCAAGAAGATTAACATGACAGAGTTTTAAAAGTTTTAAAATACCTGTACTAATATTGTCAATCATCTGACTGTTTTTGTGCTATAACACTTAAATTTAAATTCTTCATTTCATAAATTCTGTGATTAATACAGAAGATTGAAATGTCCTGTGATTAGCTGTAATTACAGATAACTACCACCAAAAAGTACAAGTTTTAAGAGAATTACAATAACCTCTTGTCTACCAATACCAGTATATACAAATTACAACTGAGCACAAATACATCAGATGAAAGTGATGAAATTTTGAACAGAAAGTCTACATACAAGTTTCATCGATCTAACTACAATTAAAATTGAACACAGGAGCAAAGAAAACCAAAATTCCCAAAGTGTCTTTGATAAGAACTCATGTATTCCATCTTAATATAGGAACCTTCCCTTATAAGCACAGATCAAAGCCCCACATTCACCAAGCGTACTATGGTACACAGACTAACTGGAGAAGCATTGAGGTAATACATAAATGTTGTGGACAGTATCCTGGTAAGTGGATCTTGACAGAATGGGATGGAGACGCCTCGTCAAGCAGGTGTCTAAATGCATGAATCCATTCAGAGAGTACATAATTTCTCACACAGGATCACCACTCAGTCACACTGAGCAATAGTGTATCTGATATTAAGGTTATTTACAACCCACAAAAGCACAGAACAGGATCACAGGTATTAATGTTGAACATTTTGGAATCTCGTGGCATTGTGGATGGCAAGACAAGAAAGGACAAGGCCTACGGTAAATAATTACATTTAAAATAGAAACACATGTTTTCATTTTTCTCAGGAAACAAATGACGTTGGAAGTCTCTCTTTATACATGTAGGCGAGGGCTTTTGCAGCCAGTAGTAACGATTCCCGTCTACTGACACCAACAAGAGCAGTCTGCCAATCAGCATGTCCAATGTGAGGTTGTGACTGTTCTATCACCTGACCGATGGTCACTTTGAGGCCAGACCACCGCTGAGGGTAGTCTGAGGGCGTGGCATCTTGAGCTTTAAGGATGTACTCTGCAGGGATTGGAGTTGGCTGGGAAAACATCTGGAGTTCTATATGTTGGACAGGATCCTGTAGAAGTAGACAACTAATCTCATACCACCTGTAACAAAAACAAATACAATACTATAAACACTTCTTTTCACATAAATTATATAGTCATCTGTGAACCAGGATAATGCTCTTTATCCTTTCTTATAGGAAATTAAACTTTCTTTTAGATATTTTAATTTCTTTATGTTCTCCATATTTTCATTTCTAGCATATGCTGTTTACCAAATTTTCAGAGGCTCCTTTGTGATTAATCTCAGTATATCAACTCTATTTGGTCAACTGCCTTATGGTCACCCTGATATTCCACTATCTCTATATGGTCCTCTATCTAAACTCTCCCTGAAATTCTTCAGTATCACAAACAATAACAGGGCATAAACTGAATTATCAAACTGACCAATCACAGCACCACACTGACTTATCTATCTGACTGACCAATCACAGCACCACCATAACTTATCTAACTGTCTGACTAATCATAGCACTACAATAACTTATCTATCTGACTGACCAATCACAGCACCACAATAACTTATCTAACTGTCTGACTAATCATAGTACCTCACTGACTTATCTGACCAATCACAGCACCACACTGACTTATCTGACCAATCATAGTACCACACTGACTTATCTGACCAATCATAGTACCTCACTGACTTATCTGAACAATCACAGCACCACACTGACTTATCTGACCAATCATAGTACCACACTGACTTATCTATCTGACTGACCAATCACAGCACCACACTGACTTATCTATTTGTCGACCAATCACAGCACCACAATAACTTATCTATGTGACTGACCAATCACAGCACCACAATAACTTATCTAACTGTCTGACTAACCACAGCACCGTAACGGCTTATTTGTCAGACAGACTGACCAATAAGAGCACCACACTGACTTATCTGTCAGACAGATTGACCAATCAGAGCACCACCCTGACTGATCTATCAGACAGATTGACCAATCAGAGCACCAGCCTGACTTATCTATCAGACAGACTGACCAATCACAACACCATACTGACTTATCTGTTAGACAGACTGACCAATCACAACACCATACTGACTTATCTATCAGACAGACTGACCAATCACAACAC